CCACCAAACAGCTCGGGATAAGTTGATGTTTCCAGGGATGGATTGCTAGAAATTAACGCGGGGGGGTGGGTGGTTGTCAACTTCCGAGAGTGTGGCTGACCTGGCGTGCTGCCAATGTTACGGGGGGGGAAGTGGGAAAGGTGGTCAGTGGTTCTTTCTCCTTAACCAGGAGGAGGAGACAGATATCGGTGGTGAGCCTTATACCTCCTCACTCTTCATATCTTAACCCCGGAAGCGGGATGGACGGCGTGAAAAAGCCGACGCAGAGAAGGTGTCTGAATGCTTAACCGGGGTTGAGGAGAAGGTCATGGACAAGGAATGGGGGAGGGAGAAAGCAGGGGAGGGAAGAAGAGGAGGAGGAGGAAGAGGAAGCGAAGAGAGAGAGAGAGGGAGGGAGAGAGTGCGGAGAGAGAGAGAAAGACACAGAGAGAGGGTCGAGGAGAGCCGTAGTATCGTCAGCAACACCCCCCGACGACGGCGCCGCGGAATGCAGTCAGAACCAGTGCCAGACATTAAGTAGATCCCCTCGTCTCCTTGTCGAAACCCCCTCGTTTCATCTTCAATCTGTTCCTCTTCTCCGGTCCTGACCAGGATTCCCAACTGGTGACAAGCCCCAGCTTTGTCCTCTTCCACCCCCGCCTCGCGCATCTCAAGAGACAGGCCTCCTACACCCGGACAATTCTTTTGCATCTACTATGAGGCATATAATCGCCATTCTCGGGTATTCCGGGCTCACCTCGTCCGGTTACTACGCTTCTTTGGCGCCAACGGCTATCTATTTCGGATCTCCTTGGTCTATCTCTGGTCCAGTATCTGCATATTGTACATAGCCCTAAATCGTTCCCCGATATCATGTTTCACCTGATCTGCCGCAACAGCATCAACAACAACAGACAGACACTCAATGGACAGACGTGTATATATAGTAGGAATTGGGAAAATAATATGGAATAAAGGAAAAGAAAAAAGAATATCGTGAAGAGAACGTAGCCAACGGCTGCTTCATACGTGCAACTCGCTCGAAAATCAAGACATGAACAGAAAGTAGGGTGGGGTATGTCAACGTATATGCGGTGAGCCCAATTGGTTCAATGAAAGAATGGCAATGAGGTGGTAACATCCATTAAGATCTTACTATCTTTGGAAAAATGGCGATGAAGAAGCAAAGAAGAAGGAATGGCCCCGCAGGGAGCAAGAAGGACAATTCATACGGAAATGGAGATGGGGTGGAGCAGCGAGAGCAAACCGGCACCATCACCACTCACTCTTGGGGTTGAGAGGGAGGAGGCACTTGTTGCATCTCAATGTCATTTTGAGGCTCGACATTTCGAGGGAGATACTTGCGCTTCATCGTGCTCAGGCGCTGGTCCCCTTCCTGATAAGGCTGCTTGAACTGCATATACGTTGGGGGCCGTGGCCGCAGGAAAACGGACAACCAGTTCTGGAAGACATTGCCTTGAGTGAAGGGCCGATGGCGGTCGGCTTTCGCAAACTTGTGCGAGTTCAGATATTCTCGGGTGGTCTCGCCCCGACCGACCAGGAAGAGATGGTAGGCCCATAACGAGGCCGGGTATGGTGCGGCAACCGCACCGTAGATCACCATGGCCCAGGGAACTCTCCATTTATCGATGGCTGTGCCAAAGCTGACATGCTCTCGTGATTTATACACCAAGATGTGTGCGAGACTGGCACCAAGCAAAAACAGAGCAAGGAGGGTGGAGGATGCCACAAATGTGAAGAAGTACCTGTAGTTACGGCGACCAACGCAGTTGTTGAGCCACACACAGTGATGGTCAAGAGTCTCAACACAGTTGTCGCATACACGGCAATGATAGCAGCGGGGAGGACGCCATATACAGCAGGTCTTGCAGTACTTCACAGGCACGTCCATGGCCGCAACGTCGGATGTCGCCAGCTTCACCATCACCCAGTCGTTGGTTGGAGGGCCAATTGCCAACGGATCATCTGCGGGATCCGGGGGTGGCAGCTGATGAAGGTTGCGAGGGATAATCTGGAGCGGATCTATTAGCGATTGATGATGCACTGTCTTGCCTGAATCTGTGTCTTACCCCAGGATCAATGACGGAAGCATGTATGAATGATGAGAAGCACAAGTAGAAAAGATACGCGAACAAAATGGGAAGGGCGGGCGAGATGTTGTGCCAGAGCCAAGGACCCCTATGTACTGTTAGCTACTCGAACGCACCAAGCCAGAGACGGGATACTTACGAATATGCGAAGAATAGAGCCGTAGGCACAAGCACAAAGATTGCTGTAGCGATATTGACGGGCTTATCCCTAGAGTTCTGGAGCCTTCCCCGGCCGAAGAAGATGGTGTTGCCGACAAAATATTCGTAGTTTTTGCCCAAACGGCTTTTGCTTGCACCGGCCTGAGGGGCTTTGTCGATAGATCCAGGGGTAGAGCCGGCAGACGAAAGCCTCTCATGTGCCCGTACGTCACGGCTACTTTCATGTCCCTGATTTCTGTTCTGCAGAGAGAGGAAAGAAAGCGTCGACCGGTGGGGGCTGACAGGCTCGTTTGAGCCATGATAATTTCCCCCGAGGTTAAGATGAGGTTGTTGGATCTTATAAGCCCTCTCCCTGTCGTAGAGAAGTTTGGCGCTCTCGCCCTGACTCCTTCCCGTGGTGTTACCGATAGGACTAGCATTCGAGGTGTTGCGGTCAGGGATGATAGGGTCCGTGAACTCCGTGCCTCTCGAAGGAGGAGCTTCCTGCTCTGTCGGAGGGATGGACCCTTGCGGTATCGTGCTATTCGAGATAAAGCTCTGCCTGTTCTGACTCGTATGATCGTTCCAATCCTCCGATGTATCGGTCATTGTCCCCTTTGTCATAGGCCGACCCCGATGAGCCTGGAGTCGCTGAGAAGACATAGGCCGAAAGAAACCTTGCGCAGCAAGCGAAGGAATGTGTGACCGGCTCTGCTTGCTACTAGCACTCCCTGGCCTTGTCCATTGACTGGTCGATGTAACAGAGCTTCTGGCAGGCGGGGGTCCTCGTCGAGGAGCCGATGCTCGGGACTGCGGTGGATGCGACGAAACTCCGGTATATGTCTGGGACTGTTCTCCATCATCTGACGCCATGTCCGTCACCCGGGACGAAATTCCTCCCACGGAAGGGGGTCGCGGAATACCGAGAACATGTTGCGGGGGCGCCGAGGCAGGCGTGTCGCTGGTCTCCGAAATCGCGGAAGATAGAGGCATGTCGTTGAGCGTGGATGGAAAATTTCTACTCATATATCACAGCAATCTAACATATTGTGGCCAGACAGGAATGAAGCGGTTCGGATTAAATGGACGGAGCGTCGTCTGTGATCACGGGAGCGCGGTGAGGGAGGTTATCGGTAGGAATAAAGTGAAGGAGTGACGAAGAAAATAAAAGACGTATATCGAGGTAGACTTGTATTAAGATGAGGAAAAAGAATGTAAGCAACCTATATTGGACAGTGCTCAGTTAGCCTCATCTAAAAAGACGGGATCCAGACCGGTTTCTCCCCCTGTCGGCACGCGGGAAGGGAGAGAGAGAGAGAGAGTCAAACGACGAACCTTGGAAATGAAGTTGCGGTGATTGCAAGACACGCGGATCACGTCACATCACGGTCGCAAGCCGAAACCCAAGACTTGCGATGGCCGAAGTGAGGATGTAAGACCCCAGACACCTCAGAGCCGGACAGGTGGATGACATGCGCAGAGCAAACACGAGGGTTTATCGCAATCGATACCGTATGATGACTGATTATTGGGGGGAAGAATGGAAAGCCTAACCAAACCAGTCCAGCTTGAGTTTAGTCCCGGAGCTTAGCTCCAGGCAGTCAATCAGGCAGTCAGGCATGAAGGCAGCACACGAAAAAAAGTGTCAGGCCAACCACGCGGGCTGAGTCAGCAGCCGTGCCGGAAGCTGGCCAACGAAATGTCACCTGATGATGCGCCGGCAACATCATACGTCCGACGCCCACCGATTCTCCCACCTCCTCCCTCAAGACCCATTCGAACCACCAACCCCCCACAGTCCTCGCAGACACACGTCCGCTCCTCGCAATCCCATCAACATGTCTTCAATTGCTGCTATGGCCTCCCGCCGGGCCTTCGCCCGCCAGTCCTTCCTTCGCGCTCCCCCGCGCCGCTTCTACAGCTCCAAGGTTGAGGAGGCTGGCCTCGACAAGGGCCCCAAGCGTGACCCCGAGCTCTACGTACGGACCCAATGAACCGATAGAAATCAATTGCGATCGTTGGAATCTAATTGGTGAAATTATACTTGAACAGGTTCTGCTCGGTGTCATGTCCGGTGCTTTCCTGCTTGCCGGATGGTGAATACTTTTCCCTTTTCCCCGATTTCTTTTCATAGTGTGTCAGCACGACAAAAGATACAACGCTCAATTGCGAAAAAAAAATTCCTCGACACTACTATACAATTCAACTATGAATCGACTCAATTGGCTAACATAATTTTTTCCTCTCGATGATCAGGTACTTCGGCAGAAAGCCCACCTCCGTCACCTCCGAGAGCAACGTCCGCATTGGCGAGAGTGCCATGCCCTGGGAGCAGACCGACGAGAGTGGCAAGGTCTACAAGTACCAATACCACCCCCACGGTGACAAGAGCCAGCCCCTGCGCAACGCCCCCAGCGCCTTGAACACCGTCATTGTTCCCAACGTTACCCTGCCCGTGGTATTTACTGCCCCCCATCCCCATGTGGTTGATATTCGCGACCAATAGTCGACAATGCGAACTGGATCACTAACAAACGATTCCCTGTTCTTTTTAGGACCTCCACGAGCGCTACAACAAGTACGGAAAGGAGGAGTGGGACTACTAGATAGTTCACCATCTGCAATTGCAGACAAGGCCGTGTTGTTGAGATTCTAGGAAGAAAGAAGTTGAGGCAGGTCGGCGCTGATCGCTGTACACTAAAACTTGTGAAGACTAGAGTATGGGGTGAGACCGTTTTTACAAGACCACTGTGCATAGTTTGTTGTTTTGACGAGGTTTTATTTGGAAGATTGTTTTCGTTGCGCTTACACCAAGTTCCCAAACTGTGATAAGACATGTACAATCAAGTAGGCCGCTAAATCCAGGAACACGTAAGTAATCATGTACAAGAGTCACATTTCGTTAGACCAAAGTAGTTGAATGAGCAAGAGGGAGGAAAGAGAAGCCAATTATTGCTAGAAAAGAAGTACAGAAGAAGTAAATGAGAACAGCCAAAGTTTGAAACCAGTACAGTGATCCCTCACAAATGCTTCTTCAAGTCTATTCAAGATTTGGTCGCCTCGTTGGCCTCGCTGGCCGGCTTGGGGTCAGGCGAGCCGCGCTGCTCCTGGGAGCTTCCTTGGCCGGCAACTGAAGCTGGGCCGTCCTCTACAGCCTGAGGGGGCTGTCTTCCAACAGTTTCGGGATTTTGGCCTTCAACGTCGGGGTGAGGCGGGGCAATTTGACCGTCGATCATGTCGACAACACGGCCGTTCTCCAGGCGAGTCTTCGTCTCATGACGGCTCTCGAACTGGACCTTACCCTCCTTCTTCAACTGAGCAACAAGTTCCTCGTCCAGCACGTTTCCGTGTTGATCACGGTACTCCACACGGGCCTTGGCGGTGTGCCGAGCCCGGGGCGTGACAGCCGGTTCCTGTGCCTCCTCCTGCAAGACTTCCTGTTTCTGTTGCGGAACTTGCTGCGGGACCTGTTGTTGTGGTGGTTGTTCCATCACAACGGGGGGTGCTTGTGGCACTGACGCTTGAGTCGTGGGGATAGCCGGGTGCGTGTCCACGATCTGGGTCACATATTGGTCAAGCTGTAATCATGTTAGCGCCTACAACATGAGTATCGGCTGCGGTGCTCGGGAGACTTACGCTAGTGTAAAATGTGTGGCAGTCAAAGTCCCAGCTGTCCATTAGCTTTACACTGTTGCAAGCATCCTGGGTCCAGGGGTTGCCGTAGACCAGAGGCGAGTACAGTGTGAAAGCAAAGATGCTAATCGCAAGGAAGATGCCGGCCAACACTTTGCCGATAACAGGGCGAGATGGCAACCCAAGGCTCTTGATGCGGTTGGCAAGGAAGTCGAACTCTTGGCAGAGGGCAATGATAGCGAAGTAGAGGGCAGGGAAATAGTGGTGCAGGAAAAGCTGGCGCGCCATGAGGTAAAAGGGGAAGTAGTGGAAAGCCCAGCCAAGTACACTAGTACCAATTTCGTAGTCGAACCGCTTGAAGTTCACGTTGTGGTAATCACCACAGCTCCGCTGCCAACGAAGAACAGAGATTCCCTTGAAGATAATGTAGATAACAATGGCCACCGTCGAAGACCACCAAATGAAGGGGTTGCCCAGGAGGTAGACTTGGCGGTGATCCTTGCCCCAGAAGTTGATGCCACGGAGGAGGGTCGGCCAGGAAGGCGGGCGAGAGTCCCAAGCGTGCGATTCAGTCAGGCCTGCATTGGTAATCCACATCACCTTCTGCAGCTCCCAGAACTTGCCGAAGAAACCGGGGTTCCTGTAGTTAACCTTCTCACCATCCTCTGCTAGCATAGGGTGGCTGTTCGATTCAATGTACCAGACGCTGTTGGGCAAAGTAGCTCCTCTGGCGCAGGTCACCTCTTGCTGGTCGAAACCCCACTCGGGAAGCTTGACTTTGTGGGAAAACAGGACACAGTTGGTCATGATGTGCACCAGGCGGAACTTAGTCTGGATGGTCCGCAGTCGCTTCTTCGCCTCCTCGCCCTCGGACAGGGACTTCACAATCTCGACGCGGAAGAGATCGTTTGCATCTCCGGGGAATCCATCGTATCCATATGCGGACACCTCGAACTGCCAATCCACATCTGTAACAGGAGGCCGCTCATCATGCGAGTGAATACGTCTCCGAGTAATAAGGTGATTCAACCTGATCACAGCGCCGTCTTCGATATACTCCGCGGTTATGTTGTCCCAGGCCAAGGGGCCCTCCACTGTTCCATAGGGGCCAAGAGGCTGAGTCTGGTTCTCGAGGACGAAGAGGTTGTTCTCATCCTTGTGGGGGTAGAGCGTGATCTGCTGCTGCTTGCTTCCTGTGGGGTACATGTGGTTGTGAGAATGAAGATAGCCTCCTTGGGTGTTGAGGTGACGGATGCTGACGCGAGATCCAAATGCAACATCGGCGGGAACGTCCTGCATCCCCTTGGAGTTCAGGGTTGCTTGGAACTCGGACGACATGAATCCATCTCCATCGCCGGGGTTGACAAGGCACAGGAAGTGAATGCCAAACATGGCGCAGTAGAAGCTGAGGGGAATAACAATCAGGCAGAAGACACGAGCAAAGAAGTGCTTGAACCACAGGCGCTGTGAGATAAGAGGTCAGCCGCTGGCTCAAGGAGATCTAGATCGATGATTGGAAGCACGTACCGGTGTGACATTCTTTGGATCACCAAGCAGAACCCACAGTTGGAGAACGGTAAGCGACCCAACCCAAGCAACGGTGAAGAGTCCAACCCATTTGACACTGAGGGTAGCGCCCAGAGAGAGGCCAGTTGCCGCGAGCCAAAACCACCAGGATCCACGGAAGGAATGAGAAGGTCCCAGTTCCTGTTGGTTGGTAAAGCACGTGAAAGACAATGCGGTGAGCGCAGTGAAGAACACCAATGGGGAATCCAAGAGAATGAGACGAGACTGAGTAATGAGACCGTTCTCTGCGCTAAATCAGCATGTGCAATTGACCAGTCGGACGGGCATGGAGACCTACCAAAGATGACGACACCGGCACCTAGCACGGCGGTGATAGTGCGGCATCCCGATGCCCTCAGTGTGAGGAACATCAATGGGATCGTGAGAACACCCAAAATCGCCGGAAGCATGCGCATGGCAACATATGGTACGCCCGGTTCGAGGTAATCCTTTCCAATGTCCTTGAAATCGAACTCGCCATCAAAGCCCGCCAGCCAGCCAGCAAGTGTGATGAGCAACTTGGCAAGAGGAGGATGAACATCCATGAAGAAGCGGCCCTTAATGTACTTTGTCGCAAAACCTCCGAAACTGTCCGCCATGCATTAGAACAAGATTATCTCCGGCATATGCGGGGGCGGAAAAACGCATGCACACATACTGGACTTCGTCGAAGACAACGCTAGAAGGCTGGTAGATCCTGAACAACCGGACCACTGCCGCAACAATGGTCACCAGAACTAGAGTTCTATAGTCGGAGGCGGGAAGATGGAAGATATTGTTGTCCGTAACGCCATCTGAGGCATAACTCGAGGAGGCCGCGACGGCCTTCTTGCGGCTCTTGGGACCCGGAGAGCGGCTGGGAGAGCGTGAAGATGATTTTGGCGGCGGCGTAACCGCCAAGGTGTCTTTGGATTTGGCCGCCATTGTCGAAGGCGGTTCGAATAGGGAATTGAAGAGAGAGAGGAAAGAAAAAAGGAGTGGACAGGAGACTGGTCGGGGGAGGGGTTCAGAAGATCCTAAAAGCAGAAAAATAAAGGGCAATTGATCATCAAGAGCTACCGCGGGCAAGCGAAACAATGACGGAGCCCGTTACTGCACAATGCTCCAACTCCAGGGGAGCTTCGGGACCACCCCCGCTGAACAGGCACAGGTGTAGATGGGGTGTTGGGGGGGGGGGGTGTAAACAAAAAAGTGGACAATCAAAAGAGGGTAAGAAGTTATTTTAAAAAAGAAGCGCCATGACAGAGAAGAAGCGGAACAAAAGGGGACCGGGGAAGGCAAGAGAGTAAGAGGGAAGATGATGAAGAGCGAGCACAGCACGTGTGGGACGATTTAGGGAGGCGGACGAAAGCGTCGGCCGCTTTAAGGCCAGATCGTCGGCCGCAGTTGGAGAGAGACTCTTGGTTTTCTGCCCGTCAGCAATATGCAAGGCCCCCATGCACGCCGCCAGCATCAGCCTCGTAGGGGCAGTTTAATTATAGCGATCTATAGTCTACAATGTCCCAAATTTCATGTTATCCGTCCAAGCTTTGAGCCATGACAACAAACAATAATAATCAATTATAGATGTAGCCCCAGCGTTCATCAACGGTCAGGTTACTTAAGTTACTTAAGTTACTAAGTAGATTGATTGACAACGCCAGGGACTGGCCCATCGCGGTTTAGCCTCGGGCCAATACAGCCAATCATCAGCTTCCATGGCTACACGCGCGGGTAGCCTGTCCGCCCGCGCTTAGTCTTCAACAGCCGCGCCCAGAAATGAAGTCAACCCGAAAAGGAACATCGCAGGTCGCCGAATCGCCTCAGTCTGGACTCTCTCATCCAATCCTGCGTCTCTCCATTTTCATTGGAGTGCGAACCATGGCATCTGCAAGTAACGGAGGTACTCCGCTGCCGGAAGAGGTGGGCAAGCCGCCTGAGGGCGTGGTCTTGCCACCCAAGGACATTCGAGGTAAGTTTGTCGATGCCTCCGATGCCTGGTGACGCTTGAAAGCTAACATTGGAACAGCTATCGTCGAGAAAACGGCCGGCTATGTCGCTCGAAATGGTGTCGTCTTCGAAGGTACGTCACACCCTTGCATACTATTCTATCATTTGGACCGCGCAGCTCACGCGCAGACTCTTAGATCGCGTTCGTGAAAAGGAACGGAACAACCCTAAATTCTCCTTCCTCAACCCCGGTGACGCCTACGCTCCCTTCTACCAATGGCGTCTTGTCGAGATCAAGGAAGGACGAGGAACAGCAGTGGCCGCAGGCCGACCAGGCGAAGCCACCCCTGCAGCTGAACCCGAGAAGCCCAAGGGCCCCGAAGAACCGCCGGAGTTTCACTTTTCTGCACGGATGCCCATAATCAACGCGCAAGATCTGGAAGTCGTGAAGCTCACGGCCCTATTCGTCGCCAAGCGTGGAAAATCATTCATGACCGCGCTCTCCCAACGAGAAACCAGAAACTTCCAGTTCGACTTCCTGCGCCCGCAACACAGTCTCTACCAGTTCTTCACCCGACTCGTCGACCAATACACCATCCTCCTCCGCTCCGAAGGAATCGACGCCGCCACAACAGAGAAGAAGCGTCTCGCCGACCTCGAGCACAATGTCCAGAACAAATTTCACGTCCTCGACCGCGCCAAGCAACGCGCCGAATGGGTCAAATACCAAGAACAGCAGAAGCAAAAGAAGGAGGAGGAAGAAGAGCAAGAGCGTATCGCATACGCCCAAATCGACTGGCACGATTTCGTCGTCGTCGAAACCGTCCTCTTCACCGAAGCAGACGACCAAGTCGACCTCCCTCCCCCAACCTCCCTCAACGACCTCCAATCCGCCTCCCTCGAACAAAAAGCCATGATGTCTCTCAACCCTCTCCGCATCGAAGAAGCCATGCCCACCGAAGAGGAAACCCCCACCTACTACAACGCCTATCCCCAACAACAACCCGAACCCATCATCCCTGCCGGCCCCGCCTACCCCCCTCAAGGCCTGCCCCCTCAACAACAACCCATCGTCCCCCCACCCATGTCCACCGCCGCCCAAGAAGAAGAGCAATACATCCGGGAACGCATGGAAGCGCGCGAACAAGCCGCCGCTGCCAAAGCCGCCGCCGCTCAACAACCCCAACAACAACAACAACCAATGCGCATCCGCTCCGACTACGTCCCGCGAGCCCAAGCGCGCCGCCAAAATCCCACAGGCGCCACAGCGCTCTGCCCGAACTGCCACCAACAGATCCCCGTCGGCGAACTGGAACAACACATGCGCATCGAGCTGCTCGATCCCCGCTGGAAGGAACAACGCGCCAAGGCCGAATCCCGCAGCGCAACCACCAACCTCTTCACCGTGGACGTGGTCAACAACCTCAAACGTCTGGCCAGTCAACGAAGCGACGTATTCGATTCCGCTGCTATGCCTGGCTCTGGAGCCGTCGATCCGGAGGAAGAGGCCCGTCGCAAGAAGATGGCTGTCGAAGGTGCCGTGCCTGGTTCGGGTCCTGTGCCGCCGCCTGTTGTCGGACCTGCTGGCGCGCCTCCGAATCCTCAGAGTATGAATATCGAAGAGCAGATCAGACGCATTCATGAACGGCAGGCTATGACGAGGAAATAGACCAACTGTGTATTTTCTGTTTCATTTTTTTGTTTCTTGACTCTTTCATGATGTGTCTATTTGGGCCCTTTCCATTTTTCATATTTACACTCTTACCTGGCATACTGGGAATTAGGATCTATCGTTATATTGTCTACTCAGGCGTTTTTTTTTTTTTTTTTTGCAGTCGATGAAGGAGTATGTATACGTGGTTGATAGGTCTTCTTTGAGGCGAGACGTGTGTCGTCTACACTTCAATTGTAAAATCTTGATAACATTTCATGTTTGATCTGGGTCTTATGTCTGTAGAAGGAAATTAACGGGCATGGTATAGTAGTTGCTCCGCGTGTTACACGCATAGTAAGTAGACTGTTTACGTCAAATCATGATACGGAAGATATCTCGAAAACATCATAAATTTTTGCTCTACCTAAAGTTGCGAGGTGCAAAGCCACTACCTTGCATTCCTGCATCATCCGCTCCATAAGCCCTAATATCTCTGCCACCATGTATATCGCGTAAAAAGAATCAATCGCAATTGGATGCACCGGGGGAATAGCAACAGAAAGAAATGTATGCTGCAAAAACTTGAAAGTGCCGGGTGGACACTATTCCATGTGACAAAGAAACGCAGAATTCATTGAAATGCGAGGTCATAGTTCATCCAGGAGTACCTTCGCGCATCGAGGACGTTCGCATCCCGATAGCGTTGAGCAAACAAATGGTGCAGGAGGTACAAACGCGAAAGGTTAAAGAAACTTGGGAGAAAACCAAATACACAAGAAATGAAAACAAACCCAATAGAAAGAAAAATATGTATACAAAGGAGAAACAAGAAAAAACAAGGTATTAATAATACATACCCCATGCTGCTCTTGACTGATAATATGTCTCGGATGCAAAGGACAGGATCGGTGAGGAATTAAGCAAGCAGGCATGGTTGAACTATACCGGTATATGAGAATAGATGAAGTTTGAAAAAGGGTGGGTCCGCGCAAATGCTAGTCGGAACACGAAATCAAAACCCAAGTAGAGTGCAAGACAACGGAGGAACGTCCGCGTTGTCGAAACGATAAGAATCGTGGGTCAAATCGGCATTGATCATATCAGTTATCACCATTCTTTGTGGTGTCGTGGTTGCTCGGCGTCTCCTCAACTTCAGTTGAGAGCTTGACGCTATCGGCTTCATCATGCGTATTTTCAGGGACGATAACCTGCATATCAGGTTGCTCGTTCATATCATCAACGAGGTCTGTCTTCAATACGGGTGCGTTGGCATCCGTGGGAGAGACCGCCGCGCTGCTGGCTGTAGATTCTGACTCGGAGGGAGCAGACACAAACGGATCGTCTCCCACAGAACCCTCGTCATGGTTGTGCTCTTCAATGTCGTCTAGGTTCTTTGTTTCTATAGCGACATCCTCAGGGACAGTAGAGATGATGGACCGCTGGCACTCATCACGACCATCCGCAACAGGAGCCCCAACGCCATCAGTAGGTGTAGGAATATTCCCTTGGAAGCCATTGGCGTGAGCAAACAAAGGGATAATTCCACCCCCAATGCGTGACCAGAACATTCTCTCCCTTAGTCGGATAGTTTCATCCCATGCATCCTTCTCCTCTTCCGCATCACCAATGCGAACATGGCCGTCAAGGATGAGACGGAGGTATCCAGTGAACTCGCAGCTGGAACGGACTCTCTCTAGACACAGTACACACAGAGGATACCGTTGAGCGGTCTCGCTATCGGACGTCCGGAATCGATGGGTCCTCTCGTTGGTGGGACCGTTTCTGCGCTCGCCACACATTGAACAAGGAAACTCATATTTCTTTGCTGAAGGCGGCATGGGTTCAACCAGGAGAGTTCCATCGCAGATCCCACTTAATACTGAGCGCCGCGTTAGCCATGAGATCCCGGGCGCAGCATCAAGCCGGAGGGTCGGTTCGATGTCTTCCGAAAGCACGCGCTTGTAGAAGCGGGTCTCCTTGAGAGGAATGTGGGAAGTCACGGGCTGTGGGGAAGACACGCTGCCATTGGGAGAATGTGTTTGAGATTTGGCGGGAGATGACGACGCTGAACCGAACCCACTAGCCAGACTCATGACATTCAAGCCAGCGTAAGACCCACTTGTGGCCCGACTTGCAGGCTTGGAAGCTCGAGATGTCGTGAAGAGTTCCCGAAAGTCCTCATAAGCTTGGATATCCGTTCGACAGACCGGCTTAATCAGATGTGGGAAACTAGTGGACGGCCCTGGAGTGAGCTCTTCCAATGTGGGGATTTCCTCTGGTATGTCGGGAATCTCAGAATTCTTGCTGACATGCAAAGGATGCCGCGGCATAGTTGGTGATGACGGAGCTGTCGAGATGATTGTGCGAGTCTCGCTATCATCCTTGGCGAGGTTGAGTCCATGCAAAACAGATTTTAGCTCGGCCAATTGTTCTTGATGTGATGCAAGCAGTGCTTCGGTGTCTTTGACTTGAGAGCGTAGCTGCTCGTTTTTCTTCTCTACGGCCTCACGCTCAAGCTTGGCCGCGGCGACCATCTGTTCAAAAGGTAACAAGTTAGTTGGTCGACCCGACATACAATCGCATATGGAGCTTAC